TATTTAAAATACATTTTTTCCTATTGTGTTTGTCCCTATGAAGCACACGTTGCAGTGTGTGCCGATTGTCCTGAGAGAACTGGGGAAGTACAGTCTCCCACAGCAGCTGCTGATCCAGTTCTACACTGCAGTCATTGAGTCTGTCCTGTGCTCCTCCATCACAGTCTGGTATGGTGCAGCCACTAAACAGGACAGGAGCAGCCTGCAGCGGACTGCACGGGTAGCAGAAACGATCATCGGCACCCTCCTGTCCTCCATCCAGGACCTGCAGCTCTCAAGAAGCATGAAACGGGCAGGGAAGATCATCACAGACCCCTCACACCCTGGACACAGACTTTTTGACCTGCTGCCCTCTGGCAGACGGTACAGAAGCCTGCAGACCAGGACCACCCGACACAGGAACAATTTCTTTCCCCTCGCCATCTCCCTCCTAAACAGTTGACCTGCCACACTGCTCCCACTGCCAGACTGCAACTGCACCTTATGTTCTGTAGTACTCATTCCACTTCATCTCCTTTCTGTCATCCTGTAGTTTATGTATATAAGATTTAGATTGGTTATTTATGGTTGGTCTACACAGCTTTGTGTATGTTTGTGTATGCATGTGTACCATGTATATATCCACACGTGTGTGTGTGTGTGTGTGTGTGTGTGTGTGTGTGTGTGTGTGTGTGTGTGTGTGTGGGTGGGTGGGTGTATTGTGTTGCTTACATTGAGATTTACATTGTTGTGCTTGAGAGTCACCATCTACCAGAACCAAATTCCTTGTATGTGTCTGAGCATATACATGGCCAATAAACGCGATTCTGAATCTGATTTTGATTGTGCACGCTGTTGTGTGCTGACAATGGGGGTTAGTGTTCAGAGCTCACAGTGACACACCCGTGTCAGCTGATTCTGGACTCTGCAGCTCTGCTCACCTGCTCAGGTGCTTTTCACCTTTAAATCAGAGTGCACAGCTTTCCTTTTGGCTCTCGGAGGAGGCGGACGGACTTTTCTCCTCTCCCTTATCTTCCCTGCTTAGTTCTTATGTCCTTGTCTTGTCTCGTGTGTACTACTTTCCCTGAACACTCTCTCACAGTCTGTTCTCTAAAACCTAAAAGAGAATTATGGATTTGATCAACTGGTCTCTGAATGCTATTGACACCCTTTTCTCAACGAGAAGTCTGGGCTCGGGTGAGCCCGAGTGCCCTGGAGGGACTTTCCCTGCCGGATACACGATGGACGGGTGGCAGAGGATCGTGTGCCTGGCGGGACTGTCGATCGAGGACGCTGAAGATATCTACCTATTTGGAACCATGATAACAGGGTTCTGGCTGATCGGAGCTGGCTTGGCCCTGGCTTATCGGAGAATTAAGAAAGCGGAACCAGCTGTTCACCTGGGTTGGCTGGAAGACTGTTTACTTAGCCTGGCAGGGCGAAGGACACTGTCTCAGCTGAACTCTGGACACACATATATATACTGATACTGATAAGCACTCACTGACGCATCACCCTCCCTACCCCGGATCCAACGCCACCTCCAACGCTTACCTCCCCCATGATGTGGACATCGGGTCAGTTGGAGGCGCAGTCGAAAGATTGCAGCGGTCCCAGATCAGATGTACACACTGGAACTCTTTCCCATGTTGCTGTCTGTGTTTATTGTGCTATGGTGTGTTGATATCTGTGCATTCCTGTATTATCCTTTTGTGTTACACATTTAATAATAATAATAAATAATAATAAAAATAAATAAAATCAACGATTCAGCAACTCCGAAATCTATTGTCACCTGTTTAGCAGGAGTGGGGCGGGTGGAGGTTTGCCACAGCAGTACCACAGCGGTCATGTCAGTGGGGGGATCTCTCTGTGAATTTCACATTCCCGTGGCAGCATGCTCAGTACTTGCTCAGATTTGAAGTTTAACTTTTTGCTGTAGAAAGAAGTTTTCTTCCCACACAGAGTGTACAGTGGACGCTAATGTTTTTCTCACTTTTTACAGAATCAAACTGAAAGTAATGTGAGTAAATCCACGCTTTAAACGCTGCATGGTCGTACTCTCTCCTGCACTCCATATTATCCATTGTTGATCTGCACACGTCTGTTGCTGCCACAAACGTCACATGCTTGTACATCATTGTCATGAGACACTCTCACTAACGCAGTAACGCAGTGCTCTTATGGGAAAAAAATAGTAATCGAATTACTTTTTTGCAATAGTAATGCCTTACCTAGCTCTTTTTGCACACAAATCTTTTTAATACTTCAATTTTTTGTCTCTATTTATTTATTTATACTATTTGTATTTTATCTGTCCTAGTCCTATTGTACATATTAACCGGGATCTGTGTGTGGACAGCAGAGAATTTCATTGTACAGACAAATGCTTTTCTTTGTACACATGACAATAAACGCTGTGAGTCTTGAATCTTTACTCATTACTTGAATAATGAGTAAAGTAAGATTCTGCCCACCTCTTGTTACTAGTGACAGAATTGATACCTCAGAGGAAAATAAGGACACTGAAACTAACCAGTGAATGGCCATCACTGTAGTGCTGCAGCAGTGAGTTCATGTTAAACCAGGATATACTGACCACTTCGTCTTTACCAGTAAGTGGCTGTTTGCTGTGCAGCTATCCACCTGTTAACCATAATGTTCCGGTTGAAAATATATGGTGTAGTGTCGGGGGGGTCATCACAGGACGAGCAGCGTGTCCTCCAACTTTTCCTCACACTTTAACTTTTAATAAAATAGGGCTTTTATTTTGAAAGTCACAGGAATAGGATTGCTCTACAAAAAAACTGAAGTTTTGACTTCAGGCGTCTTCACTCCAGGTGATCTCCATGACATCCCACCCGCTGGTATCATGATGGGCGCAGCCCAGTCTCCTGGCCAATCAGACACTGACCCTGCCGGTCCGGGCTCCACCTCAAGACTGCTGAAGTTAATCCAGACTCAGCAACATGAGGACACGTGGAGGAAGGAGGTCCTGAATCTGCTGACCCAACTGGTCCAGATCCAGACGGAGGCGGCCAAACAGCAGGCCCAGGTGGTCGATCAGCTTGGCACCCTGGGAACTCAGGCGAGTCCAGCTTTAGCCCGGCTTTAGTTCAATTTATCTTGGACTTAATGTTGTTGAGTTTATTTGAGATGAGATTAGCGCACGTTTGGTATATCATAAATTTAGCCAAGGATTTTTACAGATACGTCATCACAGTTCTAACTCAGGTTTAGCTGATTTTAGATGAGCATATCTCAGATTTAGTTCAGATGCATTCTTATTAATATTAGTTTAAACTAAATGAATACAGCTTGTCTGAGTGCTGGAAGTTCTGGTTCTGCATTGTTTAAGATTTACAGACCAAGTATGCAAAGAGCCACCCAGATTAAGTCATTCAGAAGCATTGATTAGCCATTTTTAATCTCAGTATCTGCTGAGGAGATCAGTCTAACCTTGTCTGCATGTCTCAGGGGTTGCAGCAGATCCAGGATCTGCAGAACCTGGCTCGTCACCAGAGCCTGCTGGTTGAAAACCATCAAGCTTTACTGCTGCAGACATCTCGCATCGCCACACACCTGCAGGAGACCACCAAGACACCAGCCAGCAAATGAGATTCTCTGACCCTTTTTGATATCATCTTTTCTGATGAAATTACACATTGTTAACCAGCCAATAAGAGTCCTATTAAACAACAAATGATTTTTGTTCTAGCTGAACAACATCACATATTAACCAGTAACGCTCTAACAAACATGCTGTCAGTTAATCAGTGGATCAGTCAGCTAACAGACCTCCTGTGTGTTAAATCAGATGATTTCAGTGGTTTCCTCTCTGATTTTAAATAAAGTTGTGTTGTATCCTCTTCTCAGTGTTTGTACTTTTATTGAGACCCACTTTAAACTGATGTTGCTAACATCTATAACATCTGCCCGCCCTGAAGAGACTCAGCAGTGCATCGTCGTCTCATAAACGTTTCTCAGGGTTTCACTCTGGTTTTATTTACATGTTAATGTCAAGCAGGTCAGTTTATACACATAACTCATCAAACCGTAGCGCGTTCGTCTCACCAATGAAAAACTGCGTGAATGTGACTAGGTGACACAGAGCTAGATGTTCCAGGTTATGGGAGCTGACACACAAAATCTGACCAATAAAGGATTAGGGATAAATCCACGTGGAATCCGTAAGCTCTGCTGTTCCCATCCCCGAGCTGTAAATGATGTTTCACAGAAGTTGCGTGTTCATTTCAGTAACGACTGTCTGAGGCATCTGTGTTCCCTCGTCTGTGTTTGGCGAATGTCAGGACTGGAACTCTGTTTTCAAACAAACCGCGGACTGGAAGTGTTAGTGTCCAAACTCACCTGCTGGGTGGCCAATCTCTTAAAAGACACAAAGGTCCAATCAGGTGACTCAGCTCTGATTCAAGATTGAAAAAGTTTTTGTCATGTACACCACAAAACACAGATGGTTATGCAGAGGAATGAAATTCTTACTTTGCAGGTTCCCTTCACACAACTAAAAAGTGCTTATGTGTGGGTGTAATCAGAGTTTAAAGTGCAAGTGGTTTCAACACTGTCACAGTAATAGTATATACAGAGTATGCAAAATCAAGGTGTTTATGTAAAGATATGTACAAAAGTTGCTAATTTACAGATTAATATAAATTTACAAAATTGAAAATTACAGGTTAAGAGTTAGGACATCAGGATTAGGTTAGGACATTAGGTTAGGACATTGTTTTTCTTGTGACATTACCAATAAGTTTGATGTGTCACATGACCCTCTTCCTATTGAAAAAACAAAAGTTGTATCCAAGATGGCCGACTTCTAAATGGCCACCATGGTCATTCACCACCCATCTTGAGGAGTTTGCCCCCTCACATATACTAATGTGCCACAAACAGGACTTTAATATCACCAACCATTCCCATGTTATTACGGTGTATCCATATAAATGGCCTACCCTGTACTATTCAGGTATATTCAGGTGTGTGCTCTGTGACCGCTGTGTTTGATGGGTTCAGTTGTCTTTCTGTTTGTTTCAGAACCTCCTGATCCACCATCGATCCGTCTAAATTCTGACTTCCTTCCAAGTAAATCTGATCGAGTTCTTACTGCTGGCACCAATTTCAGCCTCAGTTGCCATGGTAACGGGTCAGTTCACTGGACCAGCACTGCATTTCCACTGGTGTATCGGGGCAACCTACCAGACCCTGTGGAGGTCAAACGTGCTACACCCAGGCACACTGGAACATACACCTGCAGATACACCAACGAGAGCCTGGCGCACCTGAACAGCTGGATCCACCTGTATGTCACAGGTAAGATCAATAGTCCTCCTGAAGTTCCTTTAGTTAGTGATATTGGTTTTTCCTTATACTTTTAATACAAATGTGACCAGACTGAACTCATTCATAGAATGACCTCCAGTTTTCCATAATCCCCCTCTCTCAGACCCAGCAGATCTCTCCAAAGTGTTTGAAACCCGTCATGGCATCCCCCATCTCAAGGAGGGTGAGGACTTCCTGTTCAAGTGTCTACTGACTGACCCCTTGGTAACAAATCTCACCCTTCAATCAGAGGATGGGAGGAACCTGCCAACCGCCATGAACGTGACCTTTGATCCTCGAAGAGGAGCCCTAATCCGAGACCTGAAGGCTTTGTTCAATGGCCGCTACGTGTGTTCAGGCTGGAAGGATGGCAGACAGTTCAAATCCAGGCCCGTGAACCTGCTGGTGCTCCCTGGTAACACCTGTCTATCTCTACACTTGTTTATCTATACACCTGTCTGTCTGTATACCTATCTGATTACCTGTTTGACTTCACCTGTCTGTATGCAGTGTTGCGCCACCCCCCCTCCCTGTCTGTTAGTCAGGATGAATTTGTCCGTCTGGTAGGAGAGCGTTTTGAGGTTACCTGTCTCTGCAGTAACCCCACCCACTTCTATAATGTTACCTGGACAGACCCAAGAAAGCAGGTGAGAGATCAGAGGTCACCTGTCCATTTTCAGTCCTAATATTCCAAGTGCTGACTGGTTGTTTGGTTCATTTCAGAAACTGGAAGCCACTAACAGTCGTTACTATGGTAACAGGCGGCTGTACATCAACAGCACTCTGAGCATCTCTGAGGTCACCCAAACGGACAATGGAAAGTACATGTGTACGGCAATTAACGAGGCCGGGGTCGCCACAGCAACCATCCAGCTCAAGGTGCTAGGTAAGTTAAGACATTTACTGATAAACTAAAACATCACTACTTCCATGTCTAATGGAGTAAACTGATCCTGTCACAGTTTGTTCCCCCGCTTTAAATCACAGACAAACAGTATCCTACAGTTGTTTATGTTTTTGAACCCATTTTGCACAGAAATGTATTGATAGCAGTGTTGAATATTCTTACACAGTAAAAAAAAAAAAAAAAAAAAAACCCAGCAACTATACGTAAAATAATTAAAGATGGTTTGTTTTTCTGTTTTCAAAAGAGGTAGTGGTGTATTTAATTACAACCTGTAATTTATTGCAGTTTACTTTTACTTACTAATTTAGTGCTGTCAGTGTTAATCTTGTTAAAATTACGTTAACGCCATGACCACATTAACGTGGCAAATCTCCATTAGCGAGTTAACACAGATCACCCCATGCGCCAACGCGTTAATGAGCTAACCGTGCTAACGCTTTGATGTCGTGCAGCCCACACACGGAGTGATCGGCATTAACTTGCTAACGGAGATTTGACGCGTTAATGTGGTTATGACATTAGCGTAATTTTAACAAGATTAACGCTGACAGCACTGGTTTAATTGTTTACAAAAGGTTTGAGGTGTGAAATAAACTGCAATGGAGTTTGAAAACTAAATATGTGTGTGTGTGGTTGGAGGATGTATTTGTGCGGGGGTTGGGGGGTAGTATTCTTGTAAAACATAGTGGGCCCTAGCAAACAAAGTTTGGGGGGGGACACTTTTGGTCATTTTGGTTGCACCGTTTCTAACCTAATGTTTGTACACTCATTGCCTTAGAATGAGAATGCAGGTTCAAAGTCACACACATCCACCAACAGTATCTCCTCTTCCTCAGAACGCCCTTACCTGAGAATCTACCTTCAGACAAGTGAGCACGTACAGGTCAGAGGACACCTGCCTGCAGCAGATGAAATACAGGTTAACGTTAGTGGTGGGTCACTGGAACCCATCACTAATGTTAGTGCTTACAGAGCTAGCAGCGCTAAAGTTAATGGCAGCAGCAGGGTGGAGGTTTACGAAGGTCGTGATGTGGCCCTCACCTTCCTGCTGAAGGCCTATCCTCCAATCACAAGCCAGCGCTGGACCACACCTACACACCTCATCAACAATGACAGTACGGTGTACCAGGAGAGCTACGCTGCTAACAGCTACAGGTGAGCAATGGCTACAGGCTACTCCCACTCTATTGTCAGGAGTGCCTCAGTGTTTTAAGGTGGTATTTCCTAGGTGGAATATTCTGTGTTCCTTTGAGGTGGTAGTGTTTGTACAAGGGCTTGTTAAGTTGGTAGTGATGGTGTAAACATTTTTTAAGGCAGTATTTTTGATGTTGCAGCTCGGAAGCCACCCTGCTGCTGCATCGCATGCGTCCGGAGGATCGGGGGCAATACTTGTTTCATTTCTCTAACTCCTTCTTCAGTGGCTCACACACCATCGACCTCAAGGTCTACCGTAAGAAAGCTTTTGTAATCACGTTCTTCCTCACCGCAAGCTTCTCACAGTCTGACATCTAGTCGCATGCTATACTATAAGACACCTGAATACACAGTTTCTCCTTTTAGTGGTATTTTCTGATGTTGAGGGCAGTCTAATCTACTTTAACAGAAGTCGCTGAATGTCTGAAACGTTCCAGATGGCACGGTCTGTGCTGTTTTCTCATCCTCTTCTGATCACATGATCCCGAAAGAAGCTCTCAGCTGATGTTTATACCTCTGTTTTTGTCTTTTCTGAAGTCTGAGAAAACAGTTTTGTTATTTTAGGTTTTCCGACTACTGATATCACTTTGGAGAACAGTACTCTGACATGCAACAGCTCAGGATATCCATTACCCACAATTCTCTGGTTCACCTGTCCTGGCATCCAGCCCTCGTACGTATGCTGGCGCTGCCAGCTACAGGCTGCAGAATCATGTGAAATCTGTCCTGAGGGAGGCGCTGTTTTAAAAATAAAAATGTTGCTTCTCTTACAGGTGTGCACACATTGCTACCAATGAGGTTTCTCAGGCCAGTGTGACCTCACAGGACGGTGAGGAGGTGAGGTCCCACTTCCTCCTGTCAGCTGATGATGATGTCACTGTGGAGTGTGTTGCCTCCAACCTCATGGGAGAGTCTCTGCGGGTCTTCCATCATCGTAAGTGTGGGGGAATAAGACTGGATTAATCAGACGTGTAGCAGTTAAATCTCTTTCATTATCAAACTGGTTTAAATAAAGATTCATCAGAGTTCCTCTTTTCTACAGGAAATCCAATCATCTTCACTCCGCCTCTGATTGGAGTTCTGAGTGCCACCGCTGTCCTCTTCCTGCTCCTATTGGTCCTCTTCTACAAGTGCAGACAGGTAAATTTACTGATCCTCCTGTAGAGCTCACCAGGTCAGAGATCAGTCATTTTTGTTGTAGCTAAGCAGGGAGGTGGGTGAGTGGGTGAAGCCTATCAGAGGCTTGTTGGACTGACAGCTTGATGACTAATAAACAATCTTCACCTGCTGTTCTTCTTCTGCCAGAAACCCAAGTATGAGATCCGCTGGAAGATCATCGAAAGCACTGATGGAAACAACTACACCTTTGTTGACCCCACCCAGCTGCCATACAATCAGAAGTGGGAGTTTCCCCGAGACAAACTCCGCCTCGGTACGAAACATTGGGTTTTAATCAGGGAGCATTCACAATGATGGCCGTCTTGAGGTTTTGTATTGTAATGTGAAGCATTCGGTGACAGTGGGAAAGGAGAACCCCCTTTTTAACATGAAGAAAGTTCAAACAGAATCAGGCTCACGCTCACTTTAACCTTCAAACTGAGGATCTGACTCCTCAGCCTTCCTCTCTCTGGCTTCTTCTTCATGTTCTCGACTTTCTGTCTTTCAGGTCCCATCCTGGGCTCTGGGGCTTTCGGGAAGGTTGTTGAGGCCACGGCGTATGGTTTGGAAACTGACAACAAGATCACCAGAGTCGCTGTCAAGATGCTTAAACGTTAGTATGCAGAGTTTCATAATCACAATCCTCATCATTATCATCATTGTATTGTTCGTGTTGTATGATCCAATGTATCACCTGTTTGTCCACAGCAAGCGCTCACTCGGAGGAACGGGAGGCTTTGATGTCTGAGCTTAAGATTCTCAGCCATCTCGGCTACCATGACAACATCGTTAACCTGCTGGGAGCCTGTACTCGTGGGGGTGATGATGATGTTTATTAAATACTGATTGTAGACTGTAGGTCAAAGATTCATTGTGAAAATGTGCAAACTTAAGGTCTGAATACAGTTAAAACAGGTGAGTTATAGAAACAATCTGCCCTCATACAGGTGTTATGACGTCTGTGTATCAGGCTGTAAACATGTTTATTTCTGCTGTAAAATTTTAACATGTGAGTCTATGGGGAGTGACTCACTGCTGCTTCTGCCGGATGCCAGAGGAACTGCAGGTTTGGTTTGATTTCCATCTCAGAGGCTGATGCTCTGTATTACACTAAAAATATAGCACTCCCTGCTGTGTGGTTGCCGTCCTCTGCAGTCTGGAAATAAGCCGCTCATCAACTTAAGCCAAAGTGTGCTTCAAATGAAGCGCCTAGTTCCTGGGGGGTCTATCACATGGACATCATTTCAGCTGTTAGACTCAAAGAAGAAAAAGAAAAGCCTGAATAAAAGACAGTCATTTCAACTTGTGGTTTTCTGACCTTTGACTATCCAGGGCCTATGCTGATGATCACAGAGTACTGTAGCCATGGCGACCTGCTCAACTTCCTGCGGGGTCGGGCTCAGGACATCGTGGCATCCATGGTGACTGTGGATGAAGTACAGGAAGAGGCTTTCTATAAGAACATGGCGGCCCAGCACGCCAGGCTCCGCAGGTGTGACGCCTCTCAGTTTCAGAGCATCTGTCTTTCATGCTGCTCACACCTGTGCACTTTATTATCATCACAGCCTTTTAGAGGAAAGGAAAGGCTGAGTGTGCCTCAGCACACCTACAGTTACTGATTGTGAATCACTTAGAACAGATCAGATGTTAATACCAAAGTAAACAGTAAAGCAAACAGTCGGAGGCAGATCACGCTGCTTCACACTGACAGATCAGCCAGCTCTAACACCTGTACGCTCTAGGGTTAGTGTATTCCGTATTTGGCAGGTATGCTTGTTGAGAAGTTCAGGTTAGGTTTCATTGCAGCCCCACCATTACCTGTTCAAACCCCAGCTGATGTGTAACATCCAATATGTGTTGCAGTGACAGCGGGATCTCATGCTGCTCGGAGTATCAGGAGATGCAGCCAATTCTGAGTCCGGGGCAAACACACCAGGGTAAGAACCTGAACTTACCTCCAGGTAATACACGGCACCACGGTTCTTCGTTCACAGATGGATGTATTCTTCAGTCACACTTCTCCTCCAAACCACCATAAAATCTACCATCAAACTGTCATTACATAAATGCACTGAATGATCAAACATAAATATTGTAAGTAAAGATTTAAACCAAAGTTAACAAATGCACAATCATGAGGGAATGAGTCCGCTTCAGGAACAAAAACTGAACAAAACACTTCCAGACTTCTTTTTCTCTTCTTTAGAGCTGCCTTTCACTTTGAAACAGCTTATTTAATCCTTCTTGTGACTTATTTAACTTACAACTTAGCTTCTTTGTACATGCTTTCTTAACTTCCCTTAGTGCCACTTAAAGGGGCCTGTGCGCAAAATAGAATGTAACATGGTTCTTACCCAAAAAGGAACAACAATAAATAAAGGAAATAAATAACATACATAATCACAATAAATTAAACAAATTGACATAATTTACATTTATGGCAATTAAAGAACTTATCTCACTGTCTTTCTCACAGGTGTGCAGACAGATGGTCTTTCAGTCAGTGACCTCATGAGTTTTTCCTACCAGGTGTCTCAGGGTCTGGACTTCCTGTCCACCAGGAATGTAAGGAAACACTCACATGGGATCATTTTTCACAACAATCACCATTGTTTCACCTGTGCGCCTCACCTGTGTGGTTCAGTGTATCCACAGAGACGTAGCAGCGAGGAATGTCCTGCTGACTGATCATCGTGTTGCAAAGATCTGCGACTTCGGTTTGGCCCGAGACATTCGCAATGATGACAGTTACATCGTTCAAGGAAATGTCAGTCTTCATATTTTATTTTGATACTCGTTGCTGTTTATTTTAACAATCACTGTGTTTTATTTTGATACTCGCTGTTTTATTTTGACAGGCCCGCCTCCCAGTGAAGTGGATGGCTCCAGAGAGCATCTTTCAGTGCGTCTACACAGTGCAGAGCGACGTCTGGTCCTACGGAGTCTTACTCTGGGAGATCTTCTCTCTGGGTAACCATGGCAACACCACGCACCACCTCAGCCAGTCACATTTCAGCTCTGGTGATGAGCAGTACGTGACATTCAGCAGCCATTCTCTGAGACAGTCTTCTGTTCACCTGTCCAGGAAAGAGCCCATACCCAAACATTGCCGTGGACACCAACTTCTACAAGATGATCAAAGATGGCGGCCACATGGAGCAGCCTGACTTCGCCCCGGCGGAGATGTGAGTTCACAGATGCTCGTGTCAGTGCTCATAAAGTTGTTTTGAAAGTGACGCTCACCTGTCTCTGCAGGTATCAGCTGATGAAGCTCTGCTGGAGCCTTGAGCCCACCCACAGACCCACCTTCAAAACCATTGGTCAGCTTATCAGCAGACTTCTCCCCTCCACCAATGATATGTCATCACGTTACAGCGACCAGGTGAGGATGTGAAGGGCCTACGAGCCCTCTGTGTCGTCCGACAGGCTGTGCCTCATCATCTTTCTTCTTCTTGTGTCCTCAGCCGACTTACAGGAACATCGACGAGTGCAGAGAAGAAGAAGAAGAAGAAGAAGAAACAATGAAGAGAGAGGATGAGAAGCCAGGTGAGCTCACCTGTTTCTGTGATAGAGTAGGGTCAGAGTCTTTAACCATCATGAAGTCGCCTGGGGTGCAGATGTAATCACGTGATCAGTGTTTAGCGAGTAAAAAGCTGAGTCCCAGTCAGATGAGTTTGGGTGCATTAATGACTTTTGAGCTTCTCACAGGTTTGAAGCCAAAGCCTGATTGGTCCAAAGACCACAAACAAAGCCTTCTGGGACTGTTATGTGTTTATAGAGATGAGCTTGTAGAACTGAAGTCGATCAGAAATGTTGTGATTAATGCAGTCATTAATCATTAACAGTGTGTGTGTTTGTAGTGAGTCAGAGCCTCATTGTGTTGTTACCTGACACAGGTGTATCAGGTTATTAGGAAAACCCTTTTTATGTTAGCTCAGCTAAGAACTGCTGTGATGATAAGAGAGGCAGTAAATGTCACAGTCCTCTCTGTGTTCAGTCAGATCACCTTCTCCATCAGAAGGTAAATAAAGGTTTCACACACACCTGCGGTGCCTTCATGGTACCCTCGGAGAAGCTGTGAGTTTCAAACTACAGACCCTGGTGTTGTGCTCCAGGCTTCAGGTCTGTCCTGCGGCTCTTTACTGGAGCTTATCTGTGATACGTGAGCCGTGTGTTTGTGGTCCTCAGTCATGCTGATGTTTTGATGCTAACATGGAGGCTCAGAGCTGATAGGGATCAGCTGATTGTTGGGTCTTCCCTGGGTTGAGCAGCTTGAGGTGAGCTGGCTCTGTATAAATAAATTAATCTGAGCTGTGGGTGTATTATTACCAGTAAAGGCATGGAGGATCTGAAGCACCTGTAAAACAGAAATAAGAATAAAGTCTGAACCCAGGCTTTCCTTTGGCTTTCATGAAAACGTATACTAAATAATATACTAAATAATAATAAATAAAGTTATGGGAACATTATGATGCAGCTCCAAACAGGTTTTAATTCGGCAGATCTGAGATCTGCTCAGACTGTCTCCTGGTTAATGAAGGGATGAGAGAGAGGTCTCTTAAGTTTCCTTCACGTGTTGTGTCAGTAAAATGACTCCTGACTGTTGAACTTGTGAATCAGGTGTTCACATATTTGATAGGATGACTGAGTTTTAATGTCAGAAACACCTTCACCTCTGATGAGACCACGCCATGACCTCTGACTTCTCCCTCTGGATTTCAGTCACGGTCTGTCCTGATTGGTTGAACTGTCTGTGACTCTGAGATGAAACCATGACATCACAATAAAATGTCCCGATTTCAGAGCAGGACGACGACGAGGGGAAGGAATCAAAGATGCCGAACATCTACCAGCTGTCCTGAACCTCTCGTCCAATCAGAACTGAGAACCCGGTCATATCTCCTGGCTGAGGACACTCATCCTCACTGCTGAAAACTTTATGGACAAACTGCAGCACCAACCAAACTCTGTGTCACACCAGCGGATCAAAGCTTTAAACTCTGTGTGATCTTCTGATTCTGATTTTGTTTTTTAAACTTACATTGAACGTTTCCAGATGTGGGCGTTTTTTATCTCTGATGCTGAGAGTCGAGTCGTGACGGTGGATGATCATTTTTCTGCAAACCGTCCTGTTTCTGATTCTTCTGATGTTTCTGGCTGTAAAATATCTAAAATTAGTTTTGCTTTCATTTGTTTTCTTTATCAAATAAAATGTTTGGTGTGAAACTCGTCCAACCTCACAGCTGTGTGTAACGTGAGCCACGTTTCTAAGCGTGTTGGGTTGTTTGCTGCTTCCATGCGCATTCTGAGTGCTCGCTGTGTATTTGTGGTAACCCTGCCGATGCTCGTATGATGTTTGTGTAACAATAAAGTTTCTGTGATGATTTGGTTCACCTGTCACCTGCTCTGGATGATTTCACAAGGAGCAGCAAGAGAAGGAAACACACACGAGTGCCGTCAGTGATTCTGTTTACCTGTTTTTACCTGTGATAAGCACAGACACAGTGTTCAGTGTTGATGGGCGGAGCCTATTGTGTGAACAGGTAACGAACAATAAAGTAAAACTTTAACAGTCGTTGAACAGCTTCATCACACCGCTTTCATTAATTACATCTTTATTTGCTGGTGATTAATGAGTCTCTGTTCCAGCTGTCAGGTAAGTGCGGGGGCGGGGCCAGATTAAGGTAGATTACCTGACAGGTTTACAGCAGCTGGACTTTAGACTGTGATAAAGTCACAGAAGGAAGGAGCCAGTGTCAGCGTCCTCTGAGTTATCTGTGTCAGGAGGAAGAAACTCCTGAAGCTCCTTCAGACCTCACACGTTTCCTGATGATGATGATGATGATGATGAAGTCTGCCTACTAAAAACTTCATTAGTGTTTGTGAGCTGATTGGTGGATCAGCCCTCTGCGGGGTCATTAAAGTCAGATCTCTGCATGAACTTCTTCCTGTCATTGGTTTGTGACCTTTGGCTCTTTGTGGTGCTGTGTCAGAGTTAGTTGACCTCTCTTCTCCTGGTCAGCTGTGAAGTCAGCTAGGTAGCATCCAGCTACTTCAAGTGTTGGTGTGCAGAACCTCTTTTGGCCTCTTCCAAAGCCTGATTCATGCTGCAGTGCCTCCTTTGTGTTGTGCCTTTATTAACATCATTCTTCTTTCTCTTACAATGGACAAACAAACTGTTTTTCTTATGTTATTAGCTGTTTCAGGACTGTTTCAGGACTGTTTCTTCCATTTCATCTCATCCACCTACAGACAGGGTCTCACTAATGAAGCTCTGTTCTTCACTGATCATGTTGCAGGTTTATGTTGTTCTCCTGAGGCCTGTGGAAGCTGTAAAGGTCCAAAGCAGCCCCTCTGCTTCAGAGAACCGGAGTACGGTAATAACCTAGAATGCCTGAGTCCAGGGTTAGCAGAGGTCATACTCTTTGTGTGTGTGTGTGTGTGTGTGTGTGTGTGTGTGTGTGTGTGTGTGT